AAAAAAATAAAACGTAACTTCAATAACTATATTTTGAATTCTCTTTTTCACAGTGAGAAAAATAAGACTACTACATGCAATTAATTCCACTTCAAACATATAAGTACAAACACTCACCTTATAATTTTTTCAACGAAACAAGGTGTTGCAGAGATAATAACAAATTCAAAAATTTTTTCAGAGAAATCTATTTGACCAGGTAATCCAAAATATTGCTAGATGACTTCCTATTGTTTGGCAGTAAGCTATTGTTACCAATCAATCTAAAGAAAAACTTTCAAATTCTTATTTTTAATGAATATATATGAAATGTTCCTTCACTGGGTAGTGTTCCTTCACTGGTTGGTTTACCCTATATATATATATTCATGCATGTGTGCAAAATTGTAAATAAATCATTTTCAAAAAATTTCAATTTTTGTTTTGTGGAAGGGCCAGTAGTAGAATATGTTTTAGAGGGAATCAGATGCTTTTTTTTGTTATTATAGTCCTATAGCATCTCTAACAATTTAAGTACGATTTATAAAATCTAGAAATTTTTTAAATCCATATTTCCCCAATCCCAAAGCTGTCCAGATTTTCCAGCTTACATTGTTCTAAAATACTTGGTTTCAGCTATTATTGGTTAGAGGCCATGATAACCAAGTGCCAGGTATTTTTCGAACCCTTGTCATTATTAAACTATTTTATCTCTCTTTTAGACATGGAAGATATGTCAATGGCTTATGGACCTAGTTGGGAACCTATTGTTGCACAGATCAACATAGCAATGGAGCTGGTCAGTCGACCCTCACTGGATCCCAGTCCAACTCTGCCCTGGTGGGACAAAATGCGACTGCTTTATCATGGCAGACTGACCTGGATAGCTCAACACCTGAATATGTTCCTTAGAGCCTCACTTGATCCATATAATACAACAGAGCATATGGAGATATCGTGGACTGAAGTTTTCATCGAATGGACTAACGGTACAAAAAAAGCTTTTTATTTGCCCTATGTATATTGTTAATTGTTGAATAATAGATAAAACTTAATCTATAGCACAGCTTTTGAAAAGTTGTTGAAAGATTTTTCATTGACATTGGTGGACATATCCCTAATGATAGTAAAAGTGCAACATTGGAAGATTTATGGTAAAGCTCCGATTATCCTAATTACTTCGGAGTCCGGTGCTCCAATCTTTTTACCAAACAGAAGCTGCTGATTCCCTCCTTCAGATGGCTTCATTTATTTCTGGATTTGGCCAAATTTGCAAGTGGTTATCATAACCCAGACTGCTTTGGCTAGATTTGCCAGTGGCTGTCTTAAGTTGTTTATTTTTGAGGGAGGCAGAAAGATCTTCCCTAATTACAAAATATGCTGTGTTCAATCAGCTTTGCCAGAGTATATTCTGGTTTGCCTTGGACTTTCTAAAGTGGATCTTACATCAGATTCCCTTTTTATTGCGAATTTTTTAGCTGTCAACGGCGTATTGGAGCTTATCTGACGAATGTCAGAATAAGAGGATAAGCAACAACAAGCAGAATTTTTTTCATTTTTAAAAAAACTGTGATATATTATATTACTTTACTAATAAAGTAATTTATACCTACTTTAAAAAATTGGAGTCATCTCTGAATTGAAATTTTTTTATTGCAAGTGAGGTTTTGTTAACAATTTGAACAAATATGAACATGTTAAGACGATGAAAAAAATTGAGAATTTGAACTTTTGCATAATCATCAAAAGCTTTTAAAATATCCATTGGCAAAAAATAAATTTTTTGCTGATTACCAACCATCTGTAGTGTTTATCATCCCTATAATACACACGCTATGAAATGTTATATAAGTCATCAGCTGGTTTAAATATTTGATATTTATGGTATGTGTTGGAATCGAAAGCGTTTATGCATACATACAAGCATATTTTATGAATGTTTTCGTTTGCAGGAAGAATTTTAACTAAAGGAGATTTAGACATGTATGTTCATACTGCATCCAAGTATGATGACATAAGAGTTCTGCACATCCCCCATCTAAAACTCAGGTAACAATAATTACATACTAATGTAATGGATTATTGACTTTCTATTAAAAAAATTGCATTAAACATCCTCTAAGATATGTATTTTTTTTCTTTCAAAATGTAATAGCGTGAGTTTGGATTGGTTGTGCCTTGGAAACCCATTTGACCATCACAATGTCATGCCATGTGCTCCAAACAAAGTTCCTGAATATTCAATCAACCAGGTGAGCCTTACCAGGGGTGTATCCCAGAATTCTGGTTTTTTTTCATATCGTCATTCTGGGTGTAAAAGATAGGGCATGTGATTTTTCGGCGAATTTCACGAAATTCCATGTTTCTCAAGACCATTGATTTGCATACTTCCTTAAATTAAAACTTTTAATCCAACGAAATTTTGCACTGCAATTTAAAGTAAGGGTTAAGATTTAAAGTAAGAATTAAGAGTACTGGAATCTGAAATTTAAATTTTGAAACTTTTGCTAAATTGTTAACGAAACCTTAACACATATGTGGTTCTTCCGCCATTTTGATTATTTTTTCTTTTTTGGCTCGTTGTATTTTTGCCGTTTTTAATATTTGAAAATATGGTGGAATCTGCTATTATCTCGATTCTAATTCACATGTTTTTAATGTTAAACATCGATTTTCTTATTTATTTTATTTAAAAGTAACACATTGCCACAAAACCAATAGTACTCACGAGATTTGAAAATTTTACATCATGATTCGTATTCACGTGATTTAAAATTCCAATATCATTTTGTATTTACGGCTTTTTAGACTTAATATCAATATTTGTATCAACGTGTTCTGAAAGTCCAATATGGCCATTTGTATTCACGCAAGTTTAAGATGAAAAGAAGTTATTTTTATTCGCACATTTGTAATATCAAAATTTCTTTTCAGATTTACGCAAGTTAAAAATCTAATATCGCTATTTGTATTTTCGCATATTGCGATTCATATTCACGTGATTTCAAAATATAATATCGTGATTCTTGTAAACATCAAGTTTTTTCTTAAATTAGTTACTACAAAGGTGTGGTATTCTTCATTGGTTGGAAATTTAATAATAAATCTTACTTTAAAAATTATATTAAATATGTATAGTATGTAAATTAATATCTTTATATCAAGTTTTTGCTCATGAAGTTTTCAGGATTTTTCACTTTGTATCATAAACACACCTGTCTTACTTTAAAGTTATGACTTGATTTGTTCTGATATGTTTCATTTGTTTATTGCATAAGTTAATCTTGGAATAACTTTCAAAACTCCTTGATATTCTTTTGCAACAAATTATTTATAAATACTGAGTGACTATAAATAACTTGAACGCACCCTTTAATTTTATTGCTCTCTAAAATATCACAACCAAACTTTAAAATAAACATAAAAGCATTATTATTTAACCTGTCATTAACCATCTGTCTAACTTGACCTCTGTTGTCAAAATTTAGATTTATTTTATTTAATAAAACTTATATTACTTGGACACATCTTGTATGTTATCTGCTAAAATGAGTTAAGTATGTTAATGAATGTCCCCATGACTGAATTTTTTCAGACTTTCTGTGACAAACCACTATAGCACTAATATCTTTCTGCAAGAAACTTTTAATAATAACTATTACATGTTACTAATTTTAAGTAATAGAAATGTTGTTTTTATGAAGAAAAAAGACTATTTCAATCAATTGAAATTGAATATTTTTTTTATTTTTATTTTTTTTTATTCTAGTATTCTGGACGATATTCTCGCATCTTGTAGGAGAAAATACTCTCTTGTTATTTCATTTTTCGCTTTTTGTAAATCATCATCATATTAAAAAATAATTAATTAAAAATAATGCGATCCCTAACCGTAACTACCCCCGAAAAATCGCTCGAATCAAACTCTTCAAAAAAGGGTTGCTAAATGCTTCTTTCGTTTCCAGATTCAGTTGTAATAAATAATATTGTATTAAAAAAATCGAATTTCAAAACCTAAGTGGAAATCAATAACACTAACTGCATATTAGGATATTTGAAAACCATGTGAAAATCAATATCAATAAATGCCGAAAATACACTTCAAACGCTACATAGACTTACGATACTATCAGCATAAACTGAGCACGTCAAAAAATTATTAGCTAAAAGTGCAATTCAAATTTTACATGCAGAAATCAGATCAATTGAGAAATAACCAGAATTTTAAAAAATGCAGTGGAAATCGATAACAAATAGCAATTAGAAAAAGTCAGTCAAACGATCTAAAAAAAAATTAAATTATCACATTAAAATACAATAATCAAATAAGTGATTTGAATTTCATGTGTAACAAAATTGTATATATATATTTTAAAAATTGTGAAAAATCATAGCAGTAACTGTCTAAAAAACGATTGAAATGCCGCGTGTATTAATGAGGATATTGACGCAAACCAAGCACCTCGGCTAGTCATTTCTTGAATCCCTGAATTGAACTTCACATGATGGAATAATGTCGGTATTTTTTAAAAAAAATCACAAGAATATCAATAATGGCTAAGCAATAAAAGACATCACGATTTCAGAAAGACTAAATAAAAACTCGTAGAAGTAATTGTAAAAAAAAATTATCAAAACATTTGTGAGAGTTGAAATGAGGACTTAAACGAATGATTTCAAATGAAATCATTATATGTGCGTAATATATTGAAAATAGTGTATAGATTTTATTTTAACTAAATTTTAGAAAAAAAGAAATGTACCACATTCATTTATTAATTATCTTGCTACAAATCTAAATTCTTAACAAAATCCTCACTCACAGTCAAATTTGGTGTTCTTTGGAAAAAAACTGAATGAAAGGACATGATTTCTAGAGTGAACTAACTTTTAAACATTTGAAGTTTTGGATTTTTTTTTTAATAATTTGTTTTTAAATTTTTTTCTTTAATTCTCAAATGAGAATTGAGAAAACTGTAGTATTTCTTTTCCCTCCAATGTGAGAGAAAGGCGTCATTTGAATATAATTCTGGGGGGGGGGGGAATTTCAGTAATTTCTGCAGGAAAGAAAAGCAAACTTTTTTACTTTATTATTCTCAAAAAAAAGGAAATGTTCACAAACCTTTTTTTTTCTCCGAAGCATGAGAAAGACGTCTTTTGAATATAATTCAGGAGAAAAGGAAAATCTTTTGAAAATTTCTGTTGAAATGAAACCAAATTATTTTACTTTATAATTCTTTATGTTTCAATATTTTCAAATGAGAATAGAAAAATTATGAGCATTTTTTTCCTCTCTGATGCGCAAGAAAGGCATTTTTTGAATATAATTCTATTGAAGAAAATATTTCGAAAATTTCTTCCGAAAAGAAAACCAAAATTTTTTACTTCATTGTTCTTTATTTTTCTCTATTCTCAAATTAGAATAAAAAAATCACGAGTATTTCTTTCTTCTACGATGTGCAAGAAAGGCATCTTTTGAATTTAATTCTGGAGAGAAAAAATTTTTGAAAATTTTAGCAGAATAGAGAATCAAAATTTTTTACTTCCCAAAGGAAAAATTCTTCTGAAAGAACTCGGTAATATTCTGTGACAATGTTGCAGTTTCGCCGTGATTCTGCCACAGGGCTGAATGTTATGCAAAATCCTTCATAAATTGTCCTGAAAAGAAATATTTTTTCAGAAAATTGTCTATTTTATGTTATGTATTAAAATTTAACTGTATTGGTGCAATAGTATTAAAAGCTAATCTAAATCTTTTTGTGAGTTGCCCACATGAGGAACTATTCAGGACTTTTTTAGGAATAGGTTTGAATCTATAACTAAATTAATTTTAAATGTTAACTGATCATAGTGTGAAATTTTATAATAGCATATGAAAATCAATGGGGGAAAGTTTGTATCCATAAAAGCTAATTCTGAGAAAAACAAATTTTAATGCATGGGAATTTTCAGAAGCAAGCATTAAATTGAAATCGCAAAAAGGAAAAATATACACAAAAGTTACAAATATTTATATACATTTCTTAAACATTTCAGATAAAAATTTAAAATTTCTGATATTGAAAGAGAAATAAAAGTTGAAAATTGGGTTTCGCAAGAGCATTTTTTTCTTCAAAATTCTTCGCCGATCGATTCTTCCTCACTAGTATCATTGTCATCTTCTTCATTAGTTTCTTTTTTATTCCTTTTGTTGACACTTGGACGCGAACGCTCTTTTCACCATCTTTCGCTTGATAATTCTCCAGAATTACCAATTTCCCAAGTTATTGATTTATCAAGACTTACCAATCCTCAAAATGCAGTTGGTGGTGATCTATTCATAATTTTTATGAAAAATGGACTTAAAATGTTCTTCTCACTTCATATTAATTTATGTTTTTGTGTATTTATATTTTAAGAAAATATTAATAATATAATATAAATACTTAAAAACATATGCATATTTGTTTTTCTTAAATTACTAAGTTTAATATTAAATTTTTGTAACAAGTTGTAATTCCTTTGGAAATTAAAAAAAATTGAATGATTTATATTTATTTTTGATTGATAATATATAAAAATGTCTGAATTACATAGCAAATATCTAAGTTACCCTGAATAATATTATGTAAGGAATTATATTTAGGAAAACACTAACTTGTCCCTCTGTAAAAGTTGACCACTAAAGTAGTGCCCCCCAAGCGGTCAACTTACTCAGGTTTCACTATAGTACCTGTCAGGGAACTGGGCAATCTGTGTCTAGACTAGCCGAATTATTAATGAATTTATCAAAAATGTGATTTGGTGCAATTGAAAATAGAGAGACAATTAAAAAAATATATTCATTCATTATGACGAACATCCAAAACAATTTACAACCTATTCAACCTATCGTTCTGTTCTAATATAAATAAAATAAAATTCACACGCGAGGTTTTTTGGTATTCGTGTTGCATGTTTCATTATTTCATGATTTTTCTTGCTTTTGTCAGTCTCTCTAAATTTTAGTTTTTAAAGTCCTTTATTTTTAAGTAAATTTTATAGTGACCACCTTTGGCTTTAATGCAAAGCTGCAAACATGAAGCAATATTTCTGCTGTTGGCTGCCTCTGATCCAAAATTTGCCAATGCGCATATAAAAGCACATTGCTTCATTGGATATGAGTTTTACTACTCAAACAATTTAGTGGGTATAAAAATGCTTCTTGTTGAATTTTTGTTAACATTTTTAGTTTTTTTACCTTGCTGTTGAACAAAAAAAAATTCAATAAATGAGTGTAGAGAGAGTGACAATAACCCCCTTCAGGTATTCTGAATTTCACTGCTATAGCTATGAACACTGCCCGTAACTGCGCTTGTTTTGAAAAAGACTTTGCAACTCAAAGTAAAATAAAATAAAACCTAAAATATGACTTTTCCAGATTGATTTTCAAAGCACTCTTCTTTTTTCTCATGTCACTTATAAAGGTATCAATTATGACAGGAATTTCAAACAAGCTGTATAATTGTGGAAAAAGTACATGAAAAATAAAAGTTAATATGTTTATCAATTATTGTTTTTTAAATTTTGACTGGTAACTTTGTCCAAGTTATTTAGCATCACCCTTTACAAAGTGTTCTATAATGATATAAATTTTGAGATCAATAGTGAAATAAAATGTGCCTATCTGATTTCCTAATTTAAGTAAGAAAGTAGACCAATCACTATTAAAAAAGATTCTAATAAATTATTATTTAAGTTAGAAGAGCAAAGGAAGGATTACAATCAAGGCCCATTCATTAAACTTGAAAGCTTTTATTTTAAAGCTCCATTCTTAAATTAACTAATATTAATTCTGTCCTCTCTTTTTTCCTCTATTTTTTAATAATTTTTGCACAGATCCATAAATGATGATTGTGCATCAATAAATGATTTATATTTGCACTCTACGTTTCCTATCACATCCAGTACAAACTTTATATGGTTTCATGCAACTTTTCTTTTAAGAACCTTTGTTGATTTTGTACTATTTTTCTTTACAAAAACACGCTTGCAGAATTTATAGCTGCAAAATGTGATAATTTATGTTGTTTCTATAAATTAACGAGCTATCGAGAGAATAAACCATTTTTATGTTTAACATCATTAGATCTATGTTTCAGGTTCATGATTCTTATCGAGCATTTCGTTCACAAAATCTTGACATATCCTATGCTTTTGAAACTCGACATCATCATTCTGCAACAGAGGAGGATGTTCCCACAATGCTTCTCTACAGCAGCACCCTCAGGTGGATTGAAAACTTAAAAGTAAGATAGCAATTATTCATTTTGAAAAAGAATTGTTTTCCTTCTTTTTGGCACAAAAGAAATAAAAGCAGATTTTAAATAGCTGTTTTCCATTTGCACACTCTCTCATGTGAATCCCAGTGTAATCCTCTCACAGTATTGTGAAATGTAAGTATTTATATGATATTTTTAACTCATAAAATTTAGAATATGAGTTTGTGTACTTATAATGCAACATAAATTCATGTTTATTAACAAATATAAATTTATTAAGTGCAAAATAAATCTGTAATAATTGTAATCATAATGAGGAAATTCTTTTTATTAGATTACTTTTAATTGTTATCAACCATAAATTAAAAACAAACAAACATCATATTGACTTGAAGGAAACTTTTGATGACCTGATTCAGGTCCTCTGAATTTTTGAACAAGCATGAACAAGTTTTCCTTGTAATAAATAATAAAATACACAGAGAGCATGTGTTTTGGAGTACATGGAGAGCATTTGCAGCAATATATATATTTACTNTATATATATATATATACGCACACATTGTATGAAGGTAATTAAAATGGATTTTAAATAATTATTTTTCTTGTGTATTCCTATGCAATTGTTTCAAATAATGTATTTTAAAAATAAGTAAAAGTTCATTTTCAATGAAATGATGCATTTTCAATCAAAAGTTTCATTTCAATGGATACCAGTGGCTCCAAAAATATTTCTTTAAAAGATCTAATTTCTTAACAGTATTAGCTTTTCATATTTTTAACAGTACTTTACCTTAATTAATATGTACTTTACTTTAATATGTACTGTACTTTAATTAATATGAAATGCCTTTTTTATTTTGTAAATTTAAAATTATAGATTTTGTGATTTTTTAAATGCATACTTTAAACATTATCAATTCATTTGTTTACATTAGTTTTGTTTTGAATTCACAAACATTTTTTTACTAAGCAATTTTTAGCATCTTTCTTAAAATAGAAACACTTATAGTTTATCATGAATGTGTATAAGTGAAGACTTATTTAAGACGGCATGTTGACCTAACAGCTATTAGGTGTAGTTTATTATCATGCTGAATCAGTTTTTGGATCAGATTTAATTGGGTGCCTTCAAGCGACGTCAAAATATAATTGGTTGTGTAACGATTCAGCAGCAATCCAGTTCGACACCCACTTGTGATGTGTTTTACATGTACTCAATGAATTAAAAATAAAATGTGAAATGCGATTTTAAACTTTGATTTTTATGATACTTTTTTTCTGTTTATTTATTTTTTGAAAGTAGTACAATCGAATTTAATAATTTGAGGTGGACAAAACCAAGTTTACTTGAACTATTGAGAAGTCTTAATTATTGAATTTCTTTAATAAATGAAAGGAAATATAGCAATTTTTAAATTTCAGTGCAGTGTATTTAAATGAAAAGTGTTTGATAACCTAGACCTTCAAAGCATATTATCTCTACAAAATAGAAAATTGCAAGGTGTTGCGACCAATTTTTAAAAACCAGCAAGTTATAGAATGAAAAGTAGCAAGTTTCAAATAAGAAATTGATTTATAATTAAATTTTACTCAATGTTTAGGCACCAGCTACAATATTTTAGATGCTATTGTGAAAAAGACTTGTTAGTTTCGTGTCCTTTACAGTAATTTTTCAAAGCTCTTTTGATTTTTTTTACCTTTTGTAGCTTGTAGAAGATATTTTTAAAAATCTGTAATGATACTTTTTTTAAGTATTGTTGTACTTCATCGACCTAATTGTGGTTCTGTAAACATGGATCCAATTAACATTCAGTTTCAAACCCTTGTCACCACTAGTCAACATACCTTTCAAAAGATGGATCTTCTCTGTGTTGGTCATTTTCTGGATGCTGACTTGTTTGTGCACTCAGATTTAGGATAAACTCAAGCAATCAAAATTTAAAAACCCAAGAGTTGAATATGGCGACTTTACTGTAAAGATAGCATTTAAGGTTATAACTCTGATTAGAAACATATTTTAGTACAGTATACTTTCAATATCTTGAACATTGATATCTTGAAAATCGTGTTGTGTCAAAAAAATATTTTCCCCTTGACATTATATATCGTCCACATAATGTTAATTTGAATTCCTGTGTTGAAGAGTTTCTTCTCAAAATCTTGTTTTTGTCGAATTTTTTTCGAAATAGAAATAAAAAATGTAAAAACCACGATGTAAAATAATTTTTTACCAATTCTTTTTATTTAATGTATAATTATTTTTGTCTTACTTTTAAAAATAAAATTATCATTGTTGTATTTAGACTTATAGTCAACTATCATTACATATTTAATGGTAGTTATTCTTATGTTTTTTGACTCTACATTTTAGAGTCATACTTTAGAATATATTTTTTCTGCCTTTTAGAAACGTATTTAACTCTGAACTTGTTATCTCGAAAACTCGCAATCTTTAAATTGTTTTTCTTCCCTTCAACTTTGAGATATCAAGAGTATACTGTATTGCAAATTCTTAACTTATTAATTTTAAGTAGTTAATGAAGTTAAGCATTGTAAATTCTTAATAGCATTGTAAATTCTTAAATCATTTACTTTTCGAAAGTAGTGAATAAATTTTAATTAATTTGATCATTATGTACAAATAATTAGATGATTCTATCTGGGGTGACACGTTTGACAAGGAGAGGAGTACTTTTTTCCAACACAAAGCCCAGAAAACCTCAGCTGAGTCGTCACTATCACAGGTTGTGCGTCTCTCTCAATCTCCACAAGTTCAAAATCATTTACTGGATGTCATTTGCGAAACAGAGGGGTCTCGAAGTGAGGGGTGGACGTCTCTCTTTAAGTTCTGAAAACACTCAATCCATTACTAATCTTAATGACGGCCTCAAACGTAGGTAAGAATCTTGCATAGCATTTTTAAACTTTATTTTTTTGTTTCATTTATTACTACTTAAGTATGGAAAGGATTAACTTCATAATATGTATAAATATCCCTAAACAATGTAAAAAGATCACAAATATTCCACGTAAACAGACATACTAAAGGTTCTATAATGAAGCACCTTCTCAGATGTCGAAAGACCGAGGGAAATGCCGAAATGAAAAAGAAAATTACCATATCAAATAATTACCATAAAATTTGAGTTGCATTGCAATACCGCTCTTTAAAGTGAATAAATTTTAAATGACAAAATTCAACAAATATATATTTAAATATACAGATTTTTTTTAGTTATTTTATTGATCAGAAATTATTTATTCGATTTTCGTTTGTATTTTAGATTTTTCTCATTTGAATTTACATAATTTAAAATGATGTAAAAATATGTGTATTTGGCAAGTGAAGCAATTTTTTTCTGAACAATATTAAATTGGATTGTTAATAGTTATCAAAACTTATGTTTTGCAGGGAATTATATATATATATATTTTGCTTTTCAGACCTCGCCCTGTGTGGAACATAGGTTACTTGAATTCAGAATTGTCTGACAGTGAAATATGGTTGTACAACTGTATGGATGAGGAGAGTGAAAATGTAATTGTTTAATTTAATAACTCGTTTGTCGGTGGGTTTTTTATTCTGAACTTAGCTCGAAATGAGTGAAAATGAACACAGCTCGAAATACTTGCATAAATGGACATAGCCATTTAAGAAAAAGGGCATAGCATTTGACGCTGTTTTTCAAACTTCTCTTATGAAAATTTTTCTCTTTTTTACGAATAAACTAATAGATGTAAATAAATTTGTAAAGTGATGTCATCTTTTTGCCTAACTAACTTGTTAAAAAAATATTTTTAATAAGCCCTTTTTGAAAAGATATTAAAAGTGAACAGTTATTTTTAGAAAATTGCCATGCATTCTATAAATTTTTAATAATGGTATTAGATTGACATTGTACGAATTTAGATTTTTAAAAATCTCTATCGTTTAGTGTTCTGTATATGAAGAGATACTTAAAATGTTTCATCTGTATTATACTCTGCCACCCCTGTTTTGAAATCCAGAAATTTTCTCTGTTACAATTGTGCTTAATGTTTAAAAGTAAGTGGAAATTCCTCATCTAGGTTGAACATTGAAAAGGTGCATGTCCATTTTTTTAAACACGCATTTCAAGTTGAGTTCAGAATATGAAGCTCATTATTATTATCCAGTCATTATTATTCATATTTTAGTATGAAACATGTATCCTAAATTAAGTTGCATGTACTTTATTTTGTTTACACTTTATTTTACTTTTTTATCTTTTGCTTGCAGCCCACTCAATCTTTTGACACTGATGTTGAACAAAGTTATTTTCTCAGTGTTAACAGGTATGTTTTTAATCACATTTTGTATTTTTTTTTTAAGACTGAGACATTGATAAAATATTGGAATTTTCTTTCTCACATTTTAAACTGTTTCTCTAAAAAAATAATAATTTTTGCGAGATACTTAAAAAGTTTAATGTTTTTGATTTTTATGAGAAGGGTTCAAATCAGGATTAAATGCATTTCCACACGCTATAACAAGGTGGTAAGAAACAAATATCGCTATCAAGGGAATCACCTTTCATACGAATAAGTATTCACCTTTATTTTTCGTCGGGAACTTTATGTTTTATATCTCAAATCAATTTTTTTTTCTCATTCACGTCTGGCAAGTCTTGAAAATGGGTGCCATGTTGACTGTTATTTCCAATTTGTATATTTTTGAAAGGAATTAAGTTTTTAATCAAGTAATTATGATATTATTTTGTCTCAAAAAATTATTGCTTTGATTCAATTTAAATTTAGTTAAAATATTGAATAAACACAGAATTGAATACAATAATGAACAAATATTTAAAAATTAACACTATTATTAAACTAGATTGCAAGCATAAACTGTTTCAAATATTGTTTTAATATTAGATATTTCTTTTTCAAAATTAGTTTCTTTTACTTGGGTTGTAAGAAATCTTTTTCCCCGAGTTGGTTTTTTGTTCTTTGTTGAAGAAATTTGCTATCCCTGTTTAGAATAGTTTTATATTTCATGTATATATCTGACTGATTTGCAATCATTTCTAGAGTATCCTATGGAAGAGAAGAGATAGTCAAAGACGTTGTATCAGAAGAAGTAAGTAGGATTAGAACTTTCCACGCTTTTTAAGAATTGATAATGATTTAATTTTTCTTTCTCTTTTAAGTGAAAAATAGTTTATTCTTTTCTAATACTTGTAATACCTGCATTTGTATTTAGCCTGTAACATTTACATTTAGTTTATCCCCTTTAGCAATGTTATAAATCATACGAGTGGTTAGTCTCAAAATTACACAGCCTAAATCTTCTTTATCTACTTCATTCACAACGGCTGTTGCTGGCACTGTGTCATAATTTCTTATATGTGACAGTCCTTGGATTGAGTATTTGGTATCAAAATACATATATATACCCCCAACAAGGACTCTTCCTGTGTACAGTTTTACTTGGTTTTGTTAACTAAGTTGTATTTAATTTCTATAATTTGTTTTTGTACGAGTCTGTTTTATCTGAATCTATAATTTATTTTTGTAGGACAAAGCTGAAACTCCCACTCACCGCCTAGTGGTGTACGGTCTAAAAGGTGCATGGACCAGGCACAATAGACTTGTTGTTTTCAGTCTGTTGGACAGCTACCAGAAAACTGTGATACTAAAGAAGAATCTGTCCACTGAAGCTCTTCGCTGTTTTAAAGTAGAATCTCAAAATACTCCTCAGGTAAAGAACGAAGGGGATATTCTTTGTAAATAGAATGGGTGTCTCAAGGTTTCTCTACTCTTTACCATTATTTTCTTGCTTTTCCCCCATGCCAATGCATGCAAACTACTTACTGAAATGTACTGCCATGGGGGGAAAAGCACGATTTCCCTAAAACATGGCAGCAGAGAGGGTACAAACATGGAAAGAGAAAATTGTGAAGCCTTAAGACACCTATTCTATTTACAGAGCGTATAGTAAAATTGATCTCAATGATGCTAATGGACTGGGTATTTTTTGTGACTATGTGCTACTTTTGTATTCAATTATGGTATTGTACTGCTATTATAATTGTGTATTTACATTTATTTTTGACTTCTTTTTTGCTAGTGTATTCAACATATGGCGAAATTAATTGAACTTAAATCATATTTTGGTGACCCTATAATTTTTAATATGTCAAATAGGTTTTGGTTATATTTCAAATCGCGTCCAAGCTATTCTTTTAATTCTTTATTATTTATTAGCAAGTCTTTCCATTTCTTTTTTTTTATACAAAATAATCATGATATACATCTAAATAAATTATTATGTATAAGCATATAATTTTAATTTACAAAAAAAAAAGCAATTCACAAAGTTCCATTCCATTCTTCCCCATTGCATGAGGAACACTCAAAAATCCTTTTTGTAGGGATTAACAAGAATTGGTGTTATGAATTGTGTTAAGCATTCACGACTATGCTGTGGGTATAAATGAAAAGGTTCATTCATGTTTGTTGTTAATTACAATTTATTTAGTGTGTTGATATAAATTAATTGAAGTCTTGTGCTGTTTTGGAACAGAAAGTCCGTTCCCAGACAAACACTTCCCAGACAAGTGTGTCAGCAGGTCCTAGTCCCATCAGCAACCTTCAGTCTAGTCACGCTGCATCCATGCTTCAGAAGTTAGTCGCAGAATCAGAAGCTAACTCCATGGTATTCATTGAAGAGGTATTTTATTTTCACATTCCTTTGTACATATTTGATATAATGATTGATTTTTTTCTGTAATAGACTCAATCTTAAAGGTTCAAAGTGGTGACCTTAAATAGGTAGGTTCTAGGCTACAAAATCAGGCCGAAACCTACTTTATTTGAATAAATGCACCTTTTTTCAGTCAAATAGTTTCTGAGTTAACTGAACTAAGTGTGCATGACAGCCCAAAGAGGGACTACTGTGCCCATCTCAGTTTCTCGATCTTGGGCTCTGGGGTGCAGGAGGAGATGTTCTGGTTGGAAGGTCAACCAAACGCAGAACACCCAATGTTTAGTCCCCAAGCATGCTTGGTACTCCTTTTATCGACCCACTGAAGGGATGAAAGGCTGAGTCGACCTTGCCCGACCCGAGGATTGAACCCATGGCACGAGACTGCGAAGCTTTACCACTCGGCCACCGGGCATCAGTTTCCGAGTTATCCATAATTATACATGTAATGAATATTTGGCTAAATATTCGTCTACGTATTTTTAAAAAATTTATTTTTTGGAAAAGTATTTTTTTTAATTTGAATAAATTTAAAAAAAATAATCTAAAATAGTATTTTTTACTATGCATTACTAGAAGTAGTTTTTCACATATTTATTGATCTCTAAAATTTGCAAATTTATGTTCTGAAAGACAAAGGGAAAAGCAAAAGTTGAAGAATTGAAACTAGATTACTTTATACTGTACAACGAGTTTTGTACTGCTGCTTTTTTTTTAATTACGTTTAAGCAAGGTAATTTCCTCCTTTTTTTAACACTTTTGTTTGAGGAATTGAAAATATTTCTTTGTTTCGTTTTTCTGTTTTAATTATCGAACAACATTTTAACGCAACGTTTCTTATAGACTTATTCCTTTATCATTACTTTTTTACATTTTATATCCGTCCTTTAACGTAATAAACTATCACTGTAAGTGGGGAGTTTTTCACAAATTCAAATTTGTAGCAAATGAATTAATTAATGATTGTGGTACATTTCGCTTTTATCTCTCTCTTTTTTTTAATTTGATGGAAATGAAATCGATTCAATCAAAATAAAAAACTAACTCTATCTGGCAATTAGGGCTGTCTATGGGTTGAGAAGATTTATTAAACCTATGTTTCTTTCTAGAAGAACAAAGTTCTTAATTTACAAAACTCTTTTCAGGCCAGTGTTGTTATATATTTCTGAAACTTGGACAATCACAAAACTGGAGGAAAATTGTATTGCAATATTTCGGAGAAAGATTTTGTGGATTAGACTTGGTGGTGTAAATGAAAACAATAACTGCAGAAGGAGATTTAACTTTGAACTGTACGAGATTTACAAGAAACCTGATATTATTAAATACATTAAAATCAGTAGAATGAATTGGATGGCCCACGTGTTTGAAATGCCTGATGACAATACAATAAAAAAGATGTAGGTTTTTAGACAAACTGGATCAAGAAAGCGGAGAAGGCTGCAGTTGAGATGGGAATCTGATTTTCCATGGAGTCTGATTTTCTTGCAATTAATGAAAAGAATTGGAGATCAAAGATAAATCGGAAGTCGTTCTGGAGGAATCTTCAGAGGAAGGCATTAGCCCACATTAGGCTGTCTGGCCAACTAAGATGATGAAATCAATTCAATATTTTTAATATGATATTGCACACATGATTTTCGAATCACGGATTCAAGGAATCACTCTTTGACAGGCTCTGATTTCGCCGATATAGTTATTCCATGAGATGGTTCAATCTTTTTTGCTACAAATTTTCAACTTGAAAAAAAAAATCCCGATATTTTCTTTACATCATTTTATTACTCGCAAAATTCAAATCATGCATTTGATTACGTACTTTGAATGCGATGATTTTATTGTTTTTTCAATTTTTCGGCAGTTTTTGTTAGTGCTATTGATTTTCACATGGGTTTTAAAATTGCGCTATTGGTCATTATTAACACGTGTAATTCGAATTAAATAATCACGTATTGAGGCTCTAAATTTGCTTTAATAGTATTGTAAAACCATGTTGTATTTTGATTTTATTTTAGGCAATTATTGATATTGATTTTTATGTGGTTTTTGAATATCCTGATATATTTCGGCCAATGTGAGAAATTCGAATTGCGCATTTGAGTATTTACTTTTTGACGCTTCTTTTTTAGTATTTACTTCAATCTTTTTTTTCTCATTAGTTTTTTTTTGGTTAGTATCGCTTTTGATTTCCACATAGTTTTAAAAATCCAATATTTTTAATATGATATTTATTATAACAACTGAATCTTGAAACACACATTTTTGTAACCCCTTTAAGAGTCTGATTCGTTGAGTCTCGTCGTCGATCATTTTTTCTATAGTTTTTGTCAAGGTTTAACGATTTTTAATAATTTTTGTTTAATGTAAGAATAATTTACGAAATGCGAAAAAGAAAATTATTGGTTTCATTTTTCCGACTACGAAATGTGAAAATACTATAATAACAATTATGCTGGAATAAAAAAAACTGATGAGTAATGCTAGTATATGACTAATACACATGAATATTACTGGATTTCATAAAACATGTTACATTTACAATTTAAAAAAATTATATACAATTTTATTCTATATGATGTAGATTTTTTTTTTTTTTTTTTGCAGAAACAATGCTTCTTTTTCTTTAAATTAGTAATTAAAATTAGGAGTATCTTGCTAAAAGATATTAGTGCTAACGAAGTTTGTCGCAAAAAATGCAGTCACAGCTTTTAAGTATAAGGAATAATATTTGTTAATGATTTTTTTTAATAAATAAATAAATGTTGCTATTCAGCCGATTTCTTTTCTGACGGAATATTCAGCTATTCGACCAAATCACTATTCGCTACATCACTAATCATAATTATTAATAACCATTTTACGTATGGAATTTTGTTTGAATAAATGAATTTTTTAATTATGTGCAATTCGCTTGAAAAGTTGTAGAGATATAGAGCAAACACACAAAAAGTGAAATTAACATTAAAGGGTTCAAACTTTCTACAGCTCTTCTGACCCAATTATTGGGACTGATTGCAGCTGAAACTTACATTTTGAGGTCAGACATCTGTATTCATCAAAAAAAGGGTATGTTTATTAAAGAAAGTACGAATTTGTATCCGATTTTGTAACTTAATATTGTCTATCTTAATTAATTAACATATTTGAAGTCACCCCCTCAAACCATTCATTTTCAAATCTAGTATGTGAAAATTCGATCATTACAACAAAAGTTGTTCAGGGTGGGTTTGTTCTTTTGAACACTGTACATTTATTTTTTTAGAGTAAAAATACTTTTAAAATGTGTAAAAGCTAAAAATGTATTCTCCCACCTATAGATGGAGGGCACAACTCGTGAACAAAAACTGTATGGAGTGTCTGCATGTGAAACTGATGATGTGCTTCAGAAAAAATGGCTCAGTAAGAATTCTAATCTCTTTCTCACTTCCAAATTTCTTCTTAGGTCTAAATTTGAGGTCTTCTAAATTTTTATTTTCTGGTGAAAAAAATTTCAAAACCTTAGTGTACTGCTATACATTAGAAAAATCAATGTAAGCAACCAAAATGTAGTTTTTTTTATATACATTTGGCGTTTTTCTATGTCTTATAACTTGTTGTGCAAAAAATAATTGTTTTACAAAATAATTTTTCAAATAGTTTTTTGAAATTTTATTTTAGCGTTGATAGCATTAACAATAGGGAAGGAAAATTGTTATGGAACCATAAAGGTCTTGCGTTGGTTTTTCAATCCCATGGTAGTTTAGTATCAAAGTTACAATTTCCAATAAGATTTTCAATATTAAGCATATTAATTATCTTTTTTTACCTCTTATGTTGTTTTCATTTCTTATTTTATGAAATGAGACATTTTTATTTATTTATGAATCGAAAGTAAAAATTATAGAATGTCAGCCAACTATAATTGAGAATTTAACTCTAAATGAAACTATGATAACTAATTTACAAATATATGATACTTTTAACGGAATAAACACTTTGTTACTATCCAAAAAAAACTATTTACAATTTCCTATAAATTTTATTTTTAAGATATGCTTTTACATCCCTTTTTACAGTCAATTCCTTATTACTATCTGTGAAAATGGTTCACTATATACAAAATCTTTCAAAAAATATTTTTAGCATATTGCAGTATTGTTGGAAATAGTGACTGGTATGGAACAATCTTTATGAATTATTGACTAACAAAATATATATCTCTACAATATAGTTTCTACTTTCAATATTGTCTCTGCAACATAGCTTCCTTCATGTGACAAAATTTTTAATCAGAATATTAAAATTCAATATACTCTCCATATAACAAAGTGTAGGTCACTAATTTTTTAAACATTTATATGTTCAATTTTAGTAATTTGTGGCATTTTTTTTATGTTTTTATTTCTAAAATTTTTGAAAAAAGTTGCAATTTCGGGCTACAAATTTGTTTTTTCATATGCCTGGTTTTTTAAACCATTCACATTATTCATTTAAAACTCTCATTTATGTGTATTGTTTTATTTTTAATTAAAAGGCATAATTATATACCTTTGAATTTACTACTTAGACTCAAAATTTAGTGGCAATCAAAAAAGAAATTTGAGTAGGCTATAATCCAACTTCTATAATCTCATTTGTTCACCATAAATGTATGAAATAGCATAAGTTAAACAACAGTTTGGACAAAATCCCTCTAAAAATGTTCATAACTACTGAGTGTTCACCATATCCAGTGATAAGAAGTAGTGCATTGCAAGTAGTGAAACTACTGTATTTGCTACTTTTTTTGTAGTGTAGTGTGCTACTTTTTAAAAAAAAAAAAAAAAAAAAAAAGAGTAGTATAGTGAGTAGTGCAAAAAAAAAACAGTAGTTTGTAGCGATTCCTGGCTACTACTTTTAGCGTTAGTTTAGAAAAGTATCACGACTAATTTTGCATTTCTTAAATTAAATATTCGTTGTTGAAAAAGGCATAAAAAGTTCAAGGTTAAATGAACAAATTCGACAAGGAATCTTTTGGAATAACAAATTTGCTAATGTAAGCATGAATAAATAATTCTTAATTATTCCCTTAAATTTAGTGTCTGCTAATTTTTTTATTCAAAACCATTTTAAACGTAAGTGAAAATTAAGTTCTCCAACAAAGTTCATCTCCTTAAAGTAGTGAAGTAGGTACTAAATTCCAATGTAGTTTGTAGTCGCTACATTTAAAAAAAGTAGTTGTAGTTAACTACATTTGTAATAAAGTAGTTTGTGACAAGCTTTCCTCTTTCCCCCACTACAGCCCCTCTGGCGGTGAACTAGGACAGTCTGCCAGGAACCGCCGTTAAGTACGGACGTTTAATTCGAGCCCAAAACCCCCTCTTCCAAATTCTTGTATTTTTTTATCCTTGTTTTATTTTTATGTGTTTTGTCCTTTTCAATAAATATTTAGAGTTAGATAATTTCTAGTCTTTCATTATTTATGTGAATTGGTAGAAATACAAATAAACCAAGACTTCCCCTACAAATTGTAGTTTTTCCGACCACTGTACTGGGTTCATTATTGTGGGATTAGATTAGCCCCTGTCAAATTTTACTTTTTTCTAGTTTTAATATGCTTTGTTTTATTTTGAAAAAATAATTTAATGTAATAGAAAAGCATTTTTTTTAGCATGCAAACTCTGTTTCTGCAAGTGAAATATTTTTTCACATCTAGTAAACTAAGATAATTTAAAGCCTGAAGATAGCTATTTTTTTTGCTTAGAAATAAGTAAGGATTTAAAGTAAAAAAGAAAAATATGTTTGTCACATACAGGCATTATATAGTTAAACACTATTCTGTGAGGCTGCTTAAGTTATAAAATTTTTTATTGCGTTTTTTAGACCAACCTGATTGTAAATTCATTTCAGTTGAATTGGTGAACAGTCAGGTGATGTTGAGAGGTTGTGAGACATCTGGTTATGTGATTGTGAGTGCTGCAAAAGCAAAACTTTTGCAGAGATTGCACATGCCTGTATGGAAGAACAGATCTCTCGTCTCTAAGACAACGTGGGTGGGATCCTTTGAATGTATGCAGGTGAGAAGATTGACTTGCTTAATAAGAGATTTTAAGTTGAAAATTAAAATTATTTTACTCTTACCTCTTCTTAAGATAGTTTGTTATTATAAACAATTAATAATGTTATGTTAGAAATATTTTTTTTCATAAAAAGATTAGAAAAATATAATTAAATTTAAATGGAAAAGTAAGTTGTAAAAGAATGGAAGAAATATAAATGCAAAACTGGATTTCATAAGGGGACACCCTGCGTGCATTTTTATGACAAGGTGTATAGCATTTTTTAAAAAGTACTTTTTGGTGCTTAATTTTGATTTTCATTTTTTAAAAGCCCTTTAATGTGCTCTCTCATTTGGGTGTTGTAGAAAGTGCTTAATTTTCTATGCTAAATTTGCTTGAAATTTTCAAATCAAACTTTTTTTATAAGTTACCAAATACGATTCTCTGCAAAATTATGGGTAAAAAATTTATAATATTTTCCAGTATATATCTAGCGCTGTATGAAAATACTAATTTAAGTGCCTATATCTTGTTAAATTTTTAAAATTTCAAAATGATAATATTGTTATAATTAAAAATTGATTCAAATGGTTTTTTTTTTTTTTAACTTTATAGAATATTTTTAAAATTATAGCTAAAAACCGAAGACAAAAGATATTTTTATAAAAATGTTGGTATATCTATAAATATTCAAGCTTTGCTTACGAATTATGCAATTTTAGCATCTAGTAACCATAGTAATCATGACAAGTTACAAGTTATTGCTATATTTTCTGATTGTGAATGTGCAAAAAAAAAACTTTAATTTGTTCGTAATTTATTGCCAGTTCGTCAAATCGCTGAAAATTTTATGTTAAGTACAAAAAATCGTATGATCTAAACACCCTTAAAGTTATAAAACAACTCGCCTTTTTTTAAAAATTTTAAAAAAAAATTTCAAAAACTTAGTGTTTCATCAATTTTTGTAGAGTGGTGTATGAATGAAAAACTGTAAACAACAAGAAAAAACACAAACCTTAATTATAGTTTTTATGTAAAAAAGTGTTTAAAAATATTTTTTCAGTGCTTAAAAAGTTTTTAAAGAGTACCTATTTAAAAAAAATTAATGAAAATTACGCACCCTGTATGGAGGACTTTTCCGTTAATAACCGTTAACAATTTGTTGTTTTGTTAAAGAGTTATTCAGAGAAAGGCTCATACATTAATCAGGAAGGTTGTTCCCAGATGATGTCCTGTTTTGTATTCATGTTTCTTTTGTTCTCTTACAATTTGTTTTTCTTAATCAATTTAATTATAATTATAATTTTTTTTAAATTTATATGAAGGGAAACTTAAGCACTTTCCAAAATTCGACTTTTTCTCTGTTACATCTTCAAACTGATATTAACGAATTTTTATTTAACAATGTTAATTGGAAATATATTAACTTTACAATAAAATGAATACTTTTAAAAAATGTCAATGCCTATTCTTTTTTTCTAGCCTGTATTGTAAATACTGGTTTGTTTTACTCAAGTTCTTTTTATGTAAATTTTTTCCCATGAAGTTTCTGTTTTAAAACTTTTGTATAAGTTCACTGAAGAGCTGTAAGTATAATCTAGATATATAGAGAGGAAATCTTCGAGAATCAAGACAATTTATAAAATAATGCCCATTACAAATGTTATGAGCGCTTAACAGAAAACTGGCTTAATAGTTAAGAGTAAATCATGAGTTCATACTGAAATATTCTTGTTAAAATACATTCAAATTTAAAATTAATTTTGTTTATTTATTTTGCTTTGCTTTTCAGTGTGGTGATGTAATTTTGTAATTGCTATTTTTCTATTAAGTCAATAAAATACCAGTAACACTTCTAATTCAGACAGTATACAAGGTTGAAAGTTGGCCTTAAATTCCTTTTAAAAAAAAGAAAGTGTCCTTAAATGTCCTGAAATTTTTGTATAAGTTAACAGGAAGAATAAACATTATTTATCTAAAAAAGAATTGACGAAATTTAATTACATACCCACAAGCTCAATGTTTCAAAATGGGTCAAAACTCATCTCTTGTGCTAAATAACTTAAAGAGTCTTAAGTCCTCATCATATAATTGTTTATTTTTATAAATTGCTAAATAGATTGCTACTGACTACCCAACTTGAGAATTAAACCTTAATCTGCAGCTTTATAAATAAATGCATTGATCACTATACAACAATTCTTCCTAAAGAGCAAATTAGCAGCAGCAACATAAAAATGAAATGCATGGTACTTTGTTGCTGTTAAGTTCTGTTTAAATTGTCTAAAAACAAAAGTAACCTGGGGATATGCTGATTTTCTGTTTTATTCCTCTCCTTACTTATTTTATATAAAAAGAACTAAACCTTTTTAGTATTTGCTCATAAACACTTTATAATGGATGTCATTTTTCAGTACTATGCAACTGTGGATGCCGGTGTTCCGAGTTCATCCGTAGATGACGTCATGTGGCTGTCACTAGATAATATTGAGGAGCGTGAGTCCATGATCATCAGTGACCTCCCTGACCTCGTTGGCAGTGGTCACAGTGTTGGAGGTGTGGTGAGCAGCACTGTGGGGGCCACATCAGATCCTGACTCTGCCCCCATACAGCTCCAAAGAATTGTTTCAAGATGTGGATGCCAATTCTACTATGCCAGTTTTGGAGAAAATGTGGATCCTAGCAATCTGGAAGAAGTTCCTCCACTAGTAATTATCTCTTTCTGTCTTAATACAGCAGATTGTTCGAAATTACACAAAATAAAACTTATTTTAAGTACACAGTACTCAAATCTACTTCAACAAAATTGTTACAATATCAAAACTTGCTAAAATCACCATTGCCATTTTGTAAAAGCAAATTTTTATTCGGGATATGTTTAAAAAAAATGAAAAACTTTTGTTTCTTATCTGAATAACTAAATCTTTCTATTTTCCGATGTTTTGATGTTCGAAGCCCAAAGGAATTAGAGTGGTGTATACAAAAGGATTTATTGCTATGGATGGTTGGCTGAATAACAAGCTTTCTATAACTGAACTTCCGGTGTATTCCTCAGCTTACGAAGCGATGTGTGAACGGGTTTAATATTCTATGAAGTTTTATTATTATAATTTGTGAATTAGTGTAATAAGTTAGGCATACTTTTACCATTCCTAAAAGTTTCCTATAATTTACGAATTCTAACAAGTCGTGATCCTAAAACAAATTTAACGAAATTAATACAGCATAGAAAAAGTGTAAGGTTTGCCATGTTTTGAGTATTATCCTTTATTTGGCTATATTTGTTTGAAATATCACCGTTTGATATTTTTTGCTGTTTAATTCGTTGAAATGTAAATAAAAAGAATGCGGTATATTGTAAGGACTATTAGTATAATATTGTAAAGTCACAAGAAATATAACAACATACCTGGGTAAGGGTTGAAACTGGACTAAATATTTTATTATAAATAAGAGGTTATATTAAGGACAACACTGCTGCCATCTATGTCAGCATTTGTGATGCCATCTATGTACAACAATATAAACTAACTCATTCAACACTCCCACTTTAGTTTACATTTTTGGGAATACTAAAAGAAAATAACAAATGCACAGAAAAAATAAATCATTTTAGTCCCATTAATTTTTTCACAATGTTCATGCTTAGTTCTATTTACAGTTTTTGTTAAATAGCCCACAATCATTTTTATCAGATTCACTCCCACTGTTCAAAGCAATCCTATTCTTTTTTTGGTGCGTTTTTGTCTTCACTTTGACTATTGTCAGATGTAATTCTCCTCTTTTTTTCGGTTCACTATCTGAAACATTTTTTTTTGTTCTTGGTTGACCTGTCTTCATCACTCTGACTGCCATCACTTGCTCTTTTTCTTCTTTTAGATTTTGCATTACCCTGACAGAATCTTCACTTCCACTATCAGAAGCAATTTTCCTCTTTTTAGGCCCACTGTCTTCATCACTTTGACTAATATCGCTAGCACTTGCTTTCCTTTTTCTTTTAGACTTTTCTTTTCCACGGTCAGACTCCTCACTTGATGAAATAGTTGCTTTAGAAACAATTCTGCTCCTTTGCTTGGATTCTCTATCTTTCTTACGTTTTCGTCTTTTACCGTCTTCTTCTCCTCCATCATCAGTTTCATGGTCATCTCGTGGCACACGTCTTCTCTGTCAGAGCCTGAAACCTTTGCTTCTTCATCTGATTGTTCTTTATTGGAACGTTCATCATCTGATTGTGCCTTATTGGAACCACCTTCATTGTCAGATTGGGCTTCCTTTCCAGAATCAGATGCTTTATTATATTCATCATTTTTAAGTTGAATTTTTGTAAAGACTTGATTGGGATCAAGTGGTGTTGGAACTGGATGTGACTCATGCATGTTATATTTTTTAAGCATTCGCTCAACGTATTGGGTTTGATTTTGGTTAATGGACCCTTCTGATCTATTATGATCTATTTTAATCCCTGAACAATAATTGGCTTCACCTAAATCTTTCATTTCAAATCTTTCACTTAGTTGCTTCTTCTTTAAATTTTTAAGAACTGAGTTGCTAAAAATTAATAAATCCCATTTCAATTAAGCCTTCTTCTAATGTCAGATACCAAAGCCTGCCACCTTGCTTTAAGCCATCTAGAGCTTTATTAAGTTTAAGAACTTTCCCGTTTAAATTTTGTTCGTAATATTCACTTATCCCATCAGGAGTTTTCATATATACTTCTTCATTTAGTGTCTCTTGAACAAAAGCCATAACAGCATCCATTTAATCGATTTCCCAATCATAAATAACTGCATAAGTCAACAAAACTCTTAATGTTACATAACGAACTACTAGGGAAAACGTTTCTGTATAATCTATTCCTTCGATCTGGGAGAAACCTTTAGCTACTAAATGGGTTTTATACCTTTCAATATCTCCATTAACATAAAGTTTTATTTTGATTACCCATTTGCAATCAACAATGTTTTTATTTTTAGGCTTATTTACTATGTCCCAAGTTTTGTTTTTAATGTGGCCCGCTATTGTTTCACATAAAGATTCTCTCCAATGCCTGGCATTACTACCATTGAGTGCCTCACCAATAGTATTAGGTTCAGAAAGAAGTTCATTTATTGTCACTAAAGCATTGGCAAAGCAAATAGGATCTGAATTTGGCATTTGCAAATCTGCATACCATTGGTATCAAAATTTTGATAACGAATTGGAAGTTTAACTGTTCTTCCTATAGGCGTTAATTTTGCATGTCATTATCAACAGTTATATTATTACTCTCATTATTATTTACAAAATCGCCTCTATTTAAGCCATTAATGTCATCCCTACCTGTGTTAATATCATTTTGGAAATTTAATTCATTATCACCCCAGCTAACATTATCATCTTTTTGGAGTTTATCTGATGTGTTGTTAAAATCAACAATGCTCCCACTGAATATAGAGTCATCACTGAACTCTAGTGAGCTTTTGTCACTGTTATTGCCATGATACATATCATGTTCCAAAAAATGTACATCTCGGGCTACAACAATATTATAATTAGTTGGATCAATTAGACGATAGCCCTTCCTATCCTTACAATACCCAACAAACATTAACTCTCTAGCTGTCACGTCCCATTTTAAACGCTTCTGTTTGGGAATATGAGCAAAAGCCCGACACCCAAACACCCTTAAGTATTTCAAGTTTGGCTTTTTCACCACTCCATTTCTCAAAAGATGTCATGTTTGGAACTGCAATGGTTGGAGATATATTTTTACAATGAGCTGCTGTTTCAACTGCTTCAGCCCAATATTCCTGGCCAAGGTGGGCATCCACCATCATAGACCGAGCTCGCTCAACAAGTGTTCTGTTGTTGCGTTCAGCAACCCCCATTTGCTCCGATGTATTAGGGATAGACTTTTGATGCTGAATCCCTTTGGAAACTAGAAAACTATCTATTTCATTATTAACATACTCCATCCCATTATCAGAACGTAAAATCTTAATAGGTTTGCCAGTTTGTCTTTCTACATATGCCTGACAGTCTTTGAATTTTCCAAGAACTTCAAATTTATTCTTTATAAAATAAACAAAAGTCATTCGTGACAAATCATCTATGAAACTTAAAAAGCACCAAGAACCCCCTATTGATGAAACACTCATGAGTCCACAGAGGTCACTATGCACCTTAACAATTCTTTTGCTTGTTTAGCCTTACCCTAGGGAAATGGTTGTTTATTCATTTTATCTTTATTGCATGGTATACAATCATTAATTTTTTCATTAAAAGAGAAACCCTCAACCATACCTTGCAATCTAACCATCCCTCCTTCACTTAAATGACTTATTTTCTTATGCAATATTTCATTTGATGAGTTTTGAGTAGTAATTAAAGCCATATCATTATGAATATCTAAATATAATCTATCACTGACACCTGTTCCACTAGCTACTAAATTATCACCCGTATAAACAAAACATCTTTCTCCTGTAAAGGTAGTAACCATCCCAAAAGTTTTGTTTAAATACTTAATAGATAGCAAGTGTGCAGTTAGCTTTGTGCAGTAACCGTCCCAAAAGTTTTGTTTAAATACTTAATAGATAGCAAGTGTGCAGTTAGCTTTGAAGCATGCAATAAATTATTAAAAGTTACTTTTGCTTTCTGCCCATTGATACAACGAAGCCCAACGAAGCACAAGAATCCATGCACCAAGGATTTGGATTAGAATTTGCGACATAGATACCTGCTACATAAGCTTCTTCCTTCATAGGAGTCTTACTAGAAGTAGGCTTTACATTTATCTAGAAATGGGCGGAAAGCAAAAGTAACTTTTGTTAAATTACTAGAAGTAGGCCCTTTTTGTTAAATTTATCATACCCATTTTTCTGGCGTGGGGGTCTTTGACAATCTATACTTTTATGCCCAAGCAAAATAACATTTGAGGCATTTCCCCTTAAACTTATTCCTGCCTTTAAACTTCTCATTAAGAAAAGCTTAATCTAAATTCCCATCAAAATTAGGTTTATCATCCTCAGCCATTAATCTAGTTTTAACGTTATCTACAGTTATCACTTCCCCACAATTTTTCAAAGCCATGATAAGGGGTTCAAATCTATCAGGTAAGTTAGCTAAAATTATTCCAGCTATTAATTCCTCATCTGCTTTAACTCCTGTTGATTTTAATTGCTGATATGCTGAAATTACTTTATGAAGGTAGTCACACATGTCTTTACAATCTGTGTACTTAGTGTTAACCAATTCTTTAATTACAGACACTTTTCTAGTTATTCCTTTATCATCATAAGTTTTTGATAATATTTCCCAGGCTTCTTTGCCACTAGATAAGTCCCTCAAATCATTAAAAATTGTTTCACTAACCCCTTCAACTATGTATGACAAGGCTTTGGCATCTAAAGCTACATCTTCCTTTTTCCCTTCAACATAATCCCATAAATCTCTTTTGATTAAGTGCATTCTCATGGCAAACTTTCAATCAGCATAATTTGCCCTCCCAGTTAATTTTTTATGGCTAAAAGAACCTTCTCCCCCTGGCATGATAATTTTTTCTTTGTTAACTTTAAATTAAGCTATTAAAAAATATTACTATAAAATAATAAATTTTCTATTAAAACATAGTTAAATTAAATTAGTTACTAAGTTTAAAAAGAAAAACAACAACATTTATTTAAGTGTTAAGCATTTAAGCCTAACCATGTGTTAACACATGCTATCATAATTTATCTATCTTTAATTCTGAAATTTAGCAAAGAATATAAAAATAGGTAAATATATTAAACTTAATAAATGTTAGCTATAAATTTCTTGGACCATTCTGGGCTCATAACCTAAAGACTTAACCCAATAATTTATGCATGGAGGTCACAAGAAATATAACCACATACCTCAGTAAAGGCTGAAACTGGACTAAATATTTTATTATAAATAAGAGATTATATTAAGGACAACACTGCTGCCATCTATGTCAGCGTTTGTGATGCCATCTATGTACAACATTATAAACTAACTCATTCAACGTATTGGATGGCATTCCTTTTTCAAGCTTAGGCGTAAAAATCAGTTCGAAGTAGTAACTCAGAAGTCTTACGACGAATTTTAACGCCAGTGCCATCTGCTCGCAGCTTTACACGCTCAATGATCCCTAGTGCTGTAAAATGTATATATAAATATCAAAATCCATTTTCATACTTCTTTGTTAAAATCTTAAATCCTGAGGAAACTATATCCATAATTTTCAAAAGAATTTGAACTGATATAATCTTTTTACTCATTGATTTTAATAAATAGCAATTTTTCCATTTATGTAACCTAGGATAATCCTCGAGTCTTAAACCTTCCCTCTTAAAACAATTGTAATCAATATGGTTTCAAATCATAATAATGCGATTTTATACAACCGACTACTACAATGACTATTTCATTACTACAGACAATACAGACCATTATATTATTTCATTTTAACACATATAACTACTTTTCCACTATAGCATTCAAAATTAAATTTCAATTTTATTTTTCATACCCTAGAAAGTCACTTCAAATACAACTGTTGAACATGTTAGAACTTTAGTGTGCTATTGATTAATTGATTGCCAATAGCAGCCAATTTATCTAGTAAAAATTCTATCTTGCATCTTGTTGGCACATGATATTCGTGAAATAACACTGTGTGCTTTTAAAGAGATATTGCGTATTGATTATCTGCTTGAATTTGTTGTTGTTGTTTCTTATCCTCTAATTGTCTGACGAAGTCAGACAGGATCCAGTAGGTTGTTGACCCTCAAAAAGTCGATTACAAGAAGTGGAGAAGCATATAAGTCCTCCTTGGAAAGGCCCAAGCAGTCGAGGATATGTTCGGCTGAGGCCTGCTGGGCTTTGTTGTTGTTGTGCTTGAATTTAAATGTATTTTATAACTTCTGACTAGCAATGTTTCATATGTGAACACCTATTTGATTTTAACCATGATATTACAGTAATAGATCAATTGATGAAAGGCAATATCGGTTAAAATTAGGAAATGTTGTTACTGGTGAGAGTAGTATTTTTAATAGTTGACACTGCTGAAAAGATGAGGTCACGTTTTCAAAATTTGAAAATTTTAAATTATCGTAATTTTGTGGAGATCTTTGAAGATACTGCTTTTCTGGGGATAGTTTCATGAGGGGAATTCCTCAACAGCTTCTTTGGTTGAGAGCGGCAGCTATTGTTACATTGTTGCCACATGTTTTTCCCCTTAGTTAATTCCTTAGATTAAAATATCTATCCTAAAATATTAAAATAGATGCCTCAAAAGGAAAAAAAAGGAAGGGGATTATGAAATTTTGGAGAATCAATATGACAAAACAGAATTTTCAAGCTTGAGGTAAAATAAAATCACCAGGTGGACCTCCCCATAAGATATGCCATACCAAAATTTAAGGTTTTAAATAAATCCTGTGGCATATCTCTGCCAAATTACGGTATTTAAAAAAATATTGATATTGTTAATGTAAAGCATTTCTCAAAACATGGTTGGTACTATTATTTTCATTTCTAAAATGAAGAACAAATTTTCCTGTCCTGTCTTAGTAAGTTTATATAAAATTTTCAGCTAATCAAATTTAGGGTTTGAACCAATAATTGTAATCATAATAGAGAAATTATCTTAAAATATGAAACAAACTTAAACTCTAAGGAAGCCTTTGATAACCAAAATCAGTCCGCCTAAAATTTTGAACCAGTGTAAAATAACCTGAATGTTTCAGGGAGAATAACAGCTTACCTATGTCTTACTATATATAAAAATCTAATGATGATATCACAGTTTTCCATTGTTGTCTGTGCATTTTTATTGGCCAGAAAATCACTTGGTAGGAATCAGTTATCCTCATTAATTTTCATATTGTTTTGGTTGTGATGAGCATAAAATTGATATAAATCATAAAGGTGTTGTTTTTCTATAAATATTTTTGTATCCCTAATTTAAAGTTATTTTCTGTACTGCTATTATTACGCTTAAATTCAATAGTTTAAAACTAAGATTAATTGTATTTTTTTTTATTATTATTATTTAATTCTGCGCTACATTTACGATAAAATTATTTAGAAAGGTGGTCTAATCTTATTAACCCTTTTTTACAATTATTATTTTTCTGCAAATAAAATTAATATACTGTTTTAAATTACAGTTAAAGAGATTGTTAAATGATTTAGAACTTAACGATCAGCTTCATACACAATGAGTAGCAAGCAAAAATAGTATTTAATATATCCGCCAGTTTGATAAGCAAAAATATTAAATTATGGTTGTAAACTCATCAAATTTGTTTGAACAATAAAATGTTATAACAATATAAATGTTATTTTAAAAAATGATTTCTTAGAAAAATTACTTTTATTTACCAATAGATCTAAATATTAATAATACTAAAAGATAATAAAATTTGGATGTGGGAAGTGGAGGCAAACAGAATTCCTTTTCGTACATAGATGTTAAGTAAATAATTTTTTAGTAGAAAACTGTTTTCTGCCAAGAAACAACAATTATTGTGAAGCAATCATCGGGGTTGGTGAGCAGCAGAAACAGGGGTCTTAGCCCACTAGTTATAAATACAATAGAGCGCCGATTATCCGAACTGCTCGGGACCGAACGTGGTCCGGACAATGAAAAGTTCGGATAGATGGAAAGTTGCTTAAAATCTAGTTTAAATGATTATTATTTATGCCCTAACTTCCCTTTTCTCACTTTTTCCGGGCTTAGAACTGGCAGTGCTATTTTAAATAGCTCTGGCATGTTTAAAAGTTTTTTTCTGTAATTTTTAAATCGTTTTTATTTATTTACTTTCTTTTTTTTTTCCTTTTTTTCATTTCGAATTTTTTAAATCATATTACAGCTTTGTATAATTTTTTTTGTCAATTACTGATTTAAACCTTTTTTTTTTTTATTTTCCATTGCAAAAGAAATCTAGCAAAGACTTTTGTGTCAAAGAAGATGCTCTTTTTTGAGCAGCCCTCATTCTTTTTAAAAAAATCAACTGAACTGGATCAACATCATTTTGACGTTCTAGACGGTCAACATGAAGCTCACATTCTTGGAAAATAATTTTCAGTTGAAGAGGGCTAAAGGGGTATGTAGGTTTAACTGCATAGCAATACATGTATGTATGGCTGCTATAAGAACTGCTAAAAAAGGTTGTAAATTAAATATGGTCATTAAATGTAGTGGATATTATTTATTCTTCTAAATTTAGAAAAATTGTCGATAAGGTAAAGAGTATTCTAAACTTGAAAAGAAAAACAAATTCAGACATAGTTCGGATAATAAGGGTTCGGATAATCGGCGCTCTACTATAATTAGAAAAGTTGAAAGTACACGTTTTGATGCACATGGTGTTAATTTTGGACAAAAAGATGGCAATTAGCAAGCAAATTTTGATTTGCCATTAATTATATTTAGTCTTCCTGTAGCTGGTGGCGACCTTTAGTTTTGCCTTTAAATAGTCAAGTGATCTAGTTCTGCCTTTGGGTTTTGAAAACTCCATTTTTATCCACTGTTTAAACTAAGATTATTATTTTGTAGCCAGAAGACAATGACTTGTGGGAACAGGAGGTGGGAGTGGATTGTTTCACCCTCACGCACCATGACTTAGATATCTGCACCAACTCCCTCCAGTACGCCATGATCCTGGATCTGGTCAACAACCTCCTGCTCTATGTGGAGCCCAGGAAGAAGGAGGCCACCAATCGATTGCAGTACATGAGATTCCAGCTCCAGCTATGCTCGGTGGAGGATCAAAGAGAACCCATTTTGGTACTTCAAGAGAATATAAGGTGCAATCTTCATTTCTTTTTACTCCACATAAAACGTTTTATTAGTTTAGTTGCAGGAATATCAACTATAGTAAATCCTCAAAATTTCAGACTAAAATCTGGAAACTTCCAAAATTGGGACTTCTTTAATTCGCGTAAAGAAAAAATTTTTAAGTAAATTTTAAATTAGAACTCTGAAGAATATGTAGAAATCCTAAGCAATAACTGCTAATGTAAATTATCATCAAAGCTAGGTGAATTTACAATTTAATTGTTGCGAACCAAGCGTGTTGACTCAATGCGCTTGTTGTGTAATACTATTGTTCTATTAAAAACATCAGGATTTAAAAAATTTCATCGATTTACAATGATATCTTTGCGAATAGGGTGTTTCATAATAAAGTAATTACTTAAATGAGTGATTCAAAATTCTTATTAAAGTAGCATTCAAAATTGATGTGTTGTCATTGTATTCTATTAAAAATAACAAGAATTTAAAATGCAAATAGAAATGTTTCAAAATTACTGTTGAAAAAACAAATAGTTAAACATTGTCAATTTATGATTGAAATGTCGCAAATCAAGCAAACCAAAATAAAAAGAGAGAGAATGAACGAAAAGTAATATTACTCAACAGTGTCTCTAGTTATTATATATAGGGTGGCCAGATTTTTTCGGGCAATTCCGGAGACACTCATATCTACCTCTCTCCCCCCCCCCCCC